AAACGCTCACCACGCAGTTTCATATTTTCGACGTCAAGAATTGCATATTACGATCAACAGCAACACAAAAAAATGTAACCGTAAACTATTAAAATGGCGCATGAAACAACATCTAGATCTCTGTAACTGCATTCAGCGCCATCTGGTGGCGAATAGTCATTACATTTAAATCTTGAACTTTGCGTATTTCCTGTCTGTGCTGCGCGTTGAAGTGAGTCGTAATGAGGACCGCGATCGAAAATCTTTCCTAACGAGATCTAACGAGACGATGCGCGCTCCTGTGTGTGAATCGGTAATGAAGAGCGCACACACAGCATGTGAGCTGATCACATCTTGAAACGGCTTGATCTCTTCGCGTGAACATGTGCGGGTTTCGGTTGGTTTTGCATGCGCGCGCGCGGAGTGTTATTCTTTTCGTCATTCTTCTTTTGTGCGGCGAGCAGCAGGTTGTCGAAGAATAGGCGCGAGAATAGAAAAGGTTTACGTTAAGGACGTTTCCTGTTGGCGCCGGCGTATAACAAGCTATTCTAATCACCGGTAACAAGTTGTAACAAGTGCTAACAACGAGTTACAAGCCAAAAGAATTGAAATAAAAGAAAAATTTTCAAATATCTCTATGGTAGGCGCATTGAATGTAGTTCAAGTGCAAAATCCAATTTACGGTTTACGATTGACGATTTACAATTTCGAGCATTGCGCGCAAGTGATTGGTGTTAATGATAGTAATTTTTGATTCCTTTTTACGCCTGCACAGTGTAAAAAGTCGCGCCTTCATTGATAACTCGTTTTATATCATTTGCTTCTCATTAAAGCTCATTGCTCTATTTTAGCTCGAGTTGGAAATGTTTAAATTTTTTGTTGTTTTTGTTTAGTTTAGAATACTATACGTACGCTGGTGTGTTGTTTGAGAACCATGCACACCTTGAAGTCGTATAATTGCGCATAAAACGCGAAGGGCCCCGCACGAAAGCCTCGCAAAAAAAAAAAACACAGCGTCGAGGGATTAACTCGGCTCGCGGGCTCGCGGATGGAAAGCCAGAATGAGCTGCAAAGCGAGAACATAAAAGGAAATATACGTTCGTATATAACGACCGGTGCATGGTGCACGGCGCGGCGGCACCCCGTTTAGGATGTTCGGCGCCACGGGCGTGCGCTGGTGCCGGTGCCGCGTCACGCGAGCCCCGAACGCACGAAAGCCGAGAAAAGTGCACAAGAGGCAACAACACGATGCGAATGCTACGAGTATATCGACGTGTGTAGAATTATTGCGATTGGCGAACGCGCTAACTAAAATGCTATAAAATTCATTTCACAACGCAATGCGACGCCATTTTTACAAAATTTTACCAAACATTGCGGTAAACATGAAAAGTAAGTAGTTTTATACCTAGATAATAAATACCTTGATTTCACGCGTAATTTTTGCTTTTTTTCGGTTTAAACTTGACGGAAATATGAAAAAAATATGAAAAATAGTGTATTCGCGTATTGTATTAGAGTTGGCAGGTGTCAATCAGACTGAAGAGCGTTTGCGACCCTTTGCGGCCTCCTTGCTAGGGGCGGCGCGCGGCGTCGTCTTGGTTCTTCGGTCCTCACGCACAAAACGCTTACCCCGGAGCGGTCGTGGCGTCACTTTACACGTTCCCCATTGTCTGCGTCCGTCATTTTTTGCCTTAGACGTGGCCCCCGTTTTACCGCAACACGACCACAACAAAGGGCATCGAGCAAAGTGAAAGCCAGTGCGCATTCGGCAACAAGACGACTGCGTAGCAATTTGCAATTTGTACTGGAGACAAGCCAAAAGCAAAAACGTAAAAAGCGGCACTCGAAAAAAGGAATAGAAATTGTAGTGATAATGATATAATTGATGTATAAATACAGGAACAGGTTGAAAAATATTTTAGGTAAAAATATAGAAAGTAAATTTTGAAAATCTGGGTGGTAAGCAATCACAGGGTTGCGAAAAATAATAATAATTAGAAAAAATATCAAAAAATGACTTTTTTTACTTAAACTATGCAAAATATTAGCAAAAAAATCTTTTGCTTCATTTGCTTCCTGTTCAAAATGTTTGTTGGTGGTCCATAGTATTGTAATCAACATATACTCACGTGTGGACTTTTACGAAGTCAATTCAGCGCCGTAAACTCGCATCTTTCACACGTTTTGCGCCTCGACGCATTCTCCCCGTTCGACGGACTAATTTATTTATCGGTCTGCGCGTCGTGTCGTTAGCGCATTTCGCTAATCTTCGCAATACCACTTTTAGCGACGGCGCGCACACGCGCACAGGTATTGAGAGCGGAAGGCGTCAGCAACCAATCTGACCTACATAAATAATTCTGTCGACTCCGCATACACGCTCGCGCATACTTCACAGAACTTTTTGCCTTTGTCGGCGCGTGATCCACCCATCGCAGGAACGCCATAGACTGTTGAGCCATAGTTGGCGAAGATTAGTAAACAGGTAACAAAACTAAGCGAGCACTAATGCAATACAAACAACAAGCAAGAAAAAAACAGGCGCGCCGAGTGCCGAAACCACTGATTGTCTTCTACCTTTTGTGTAACTGTGTGTAAGTGTGTGTGTTTGTCCATGTGTTGCCCGACGTCAGGTTTCATTTTGCTTAATAATTTATCATTTCAGACGGTACTCAAATAAAAACATTTGATGTAAAAGACACATTAGGAAGACGAATGGAGGCACACACAGCAAAACACACCGGCGAACAAAAGAAGAAACTCATTCAGAGTTCAAGCCTCACCAGGATTAATAAAAAACGAGTGGAATTTGGAAATGAGATATTTGACTGCGTTTCTTTTCTTTCTACTACTACCACACCGGATTCGTAAATCAGATCCGTTTCCTAAATACGACATGCCTTAACGCAAAACACCAATAAAACAAAGCTACCGGTAATTCTCAAACTAAACTTATTTAGAAAGTCATAATTGCATCTTTACGGCTTTTTACGATAACATTACTCAAAAATAAAATATAAAAGTTTTTTACATCAAATTCTAAACTATTGCGCAGCAGATGGCGTTGCAGGCATTCCACAGCAACCATTCCGACACTATCGCATATAATTCTATATAATTTCCATGAGTGTCCGTAAATTGTGAAGGCAGTAAAATTCTAAGCATATTTCCGAAAACACGACACATGCGTATACTCCACATTGGTGCACGTATTATTAAAAATACTTGCACGGTATTTGCATAAAACGCGAATAAATTTCAATTAAAACCTATCACTCTGAAAATGAAGCAATTACGAAGTAGCGGATCGTCGCTAGTTCCAACGCGTCCGGGCATTCTTTTTTAATTCTTTCATTTGTTTTCCCACAATTTTTATGTTATGTGATGTTGTTGTTCGGTGCTTAAGGAACAGTTGTAATTTATGCAATTTTAAATTGACTTAAGTCAAATTAAGCTGATACGACTTAAATACGGCTATTAAGCTCATCAATGTCGAAACGTGAAATTAAGTTAAAAAAATTTACGAAAATGTCTTGAATCCATTTTATATAGAATTCTATACCGAGTGTTTTGTGCTTTATTTAAGCAGTAAAATAAGTAAGTAAAATTAATACGTATTAATAAGACGGCTTGTCGGCAACGGCAAAAGAACCAGAAGCGGTTTTGGCGTCGCTGCAACTCGTCCTCGGCGCTTTGTGAGAGCCCATCGCGGCAATTAATAAATTAGTTGCTTTCGAGTGGCGCCAACTTAAATACCTCTTCGACGCACATCATAAGACACAAATACGTGCAAATGCACGAGAAGTAAACATAAAATTTACCAAATAAAAAATTGTCAAAAATTGCATTTTATGAGATATTTTGCACTAAAAATTAGATTTTAATAAAATATCCTAAGACTCGGCTGGTTGAAAAAAGAATTTTGAGGAGTTGACAATATCCAAAATGAGTAATATCTAAAATATCTTTCTTGCTACTAAGTAAAAGAACTTAGTAAAGTCTTAATAAAAAATAACTTATTAAAACTAAATATTTTAGAAGCATTCGCACTTTCAGATTCTCTCTAAAAGGTATCGCGATTATTTTTTCCTTTTTTTTACTCTAAGTTGTGAGAGTTGGCATCGGCATTATTAAATTAAAAGGCAGAAACCCCGCCGCGACGTCCCATGCTTTAACGGCCCTACTTAGTTAATAAACACCGCCGCAAGATCTAGATAGGAAGCACCTTTCTCGCGCGCGCGCTCCCGCCGCTCAGAAACAGCCGCCGCCGATCGGTTTTGTTTCAGGGCAACCCAGGCTTCACCTCCCCCAAAACTCCCTGTGTGTGTGGGCATCACCAAAGATGATCCGGCAAGAGATCACCCAACTCCGATAACTCACTTCCTTCTACAAATGGAGTTACAATATTGTTGGAGTTACAAATTTGAAGACATGAGATGGATCTGATTAGATCCGAGATGCTGGTTGGTGGTAAGGTTATCGGGTCTTCGATCAACAAATGTTTGGACAAGGACTGTTTTAAAGGTTTTAGTAGCTTTAAAGAGGATCTTTGGAGGTAGCACATTACTAATCCACCTCTAAGCAGATTTAAGTAAGATTTGAGGGTGCAATTGACCGGAAAATCCACGTGGCGCCTAGTCTCAACCCTTTATCCAACACTATTGAATATCGCACTGTTTTAGCACTAGGATTCACTCAGAATGTAAAAGATTGTAAGATGTGAATGGGAAAGCGTCCGGGTGAAAAGTGAACCAGCTCGTCGCAGGTAGCAGGGGCGGGTCGACAACACGGCGCCCAAACGGGAAAACCGCTGCGGCCGCCCAAAAGAGCCAAGAGGATTGGTTATGGAGGTTGGTGGAAGCGCGCGCGGCGAATCCCACCGCTCTGACGACGTGGTGGGCGCCCCACCGGTTCCCACACCTCAAAGACGACCTTCGCGCCATCTGAGCACCCGTCCCAGCAACTACACGCCGCGCTCGGCTATTATATGATTATGCTTCATTATAGTGCCTACGCTCGTAGGAAGTAGATGGTTGAGAGAGTTCGACGAGAGCGCGGCGAGAGCAATTTTCGGGTGGCGTACGCGCGTCAGCGAGATAATCGCCCTCTTCGCCCATCGATCTCCATCCACCTCGCGTCGTCGTCGCGCGCAAGCGAGAGTGCAACCACACGAGTGCAGTTTTTTGCCCGGCCGCGATTTCGGGCTAATAACAACAAACAACCACCATCATCGGGTGCGACAGCTATTAGTGCGAATTATACGTTTTAACAACAACAACACACACACGTTCACAGCCCCACACACACACACCCGTCGTGTGGTGTCGCGGAGTGTCCCCAACAAAACTTGGATAATAATTTTTTTCAAATTCTAAATCAATGTGCGAGTGAAAAGTTTAGAGTTTAAATAAATTGTTTGTTGCTGATGTCGGCGACAAAGTGTGATTAGGATTTTAATCTGGTGGTGCTAGCGGCAGCTACCACGGAGGACGGAGGGTACTTCTGGAAGGAGGGCGGCCGGAGCAGCGGCAGCAGTCTGCACCCGCATCCGTACCTGCAACCGGCGGCGCCACCGCACGCGTTTGCCTCCAAGGTGGATATCAAACCGTTCACGACGCTCAACTTCACGGATCTGGGCTCCCCATTTGGGGGCCCCGCCGAGGAGCCGCCCGGCACGCCAACGATGGCGGCCGACGGCGGCGGCGGCGGCCATCTCGGCCCACCAACGCCGCACGACGGCAGCAACAATCCGACGCCCGTCTCCAAGTCGGCGTTCATTGAGTTGCAGCAGCACGGCTACGGCCCGTTGCGCACCTCGTATCAACATCACTTTAACGCGCCCGTCTCAAACGCGCACAGCGGTCCCGGGGGCGCCCATCCGGGCGCGGACTTTCCCAGCCCGAGGGGCGCGCTTGGCGCCTATCCGTTCCCGCCGATGCATCAAAATTCATACACGGGATATCATCTTGGATCGTACGCCTCCAATTGCCCTCCATCACCGAAAGACGATGGTAAATATTTTCGAAAAAGATTACTTTTATTACTTCCCACCCTTCGATTTACGTTAAGGTAATGCAATCGCTATAATGTTCATTTAACCGCTCGACTGATAGTAATCGGATAGTCGTTTGATTGTTTGCTTACAATCGTTATCCGACGGGCAAGTTTTATCGAGTCAAGTGGAACCCCAAAACAAATTCGATTATTGGTCATAGTCAATTGATTAAATTATTGTAAGTGCGTTTAACAACGTCGTAAAAGTAATGTGAGCATAAAATAGAATTATCCAGTTAGTGAAAAGCAGAGCCAAAATTTATGACATTTTTTCGTTTTTTCGTTTTTTTGATATAAATGTAATAAATCACCTAAAAAACCTACTTTGTCTAAGTTATTTTGTCCATAAAAATAGTCTAAATTTAATTTATTTTTAAAAATTCAATTTTCCTCACGTGTTTTGAAAAATTCCGAATAAATTTTCAAATTCCGGTAGTTTTGGAACTTCCTAAGTACGTAAATATTTCCTCAAGTATTTTAATGCAATGAAAAATGGCTAGGATTTCCCCTATAGACATAACTTCATTTGTAATAAATTCGCTTGTTTTCTCTGTGAAGAATTAAATTGATCATTAGTTAGCCGATGCGCGATGCGCGAGAAGATGAATAACGCAAAATTAGATTTGCATATAATGCGCACTCGGTCGCTCGCGTTTCCCCGTCGCACACACCTATGCGTCGGGCTAATGAGTCTAAGAGCGCCAAAGTCGTTTAGTGATGTCTTAATAGTCATTACGTCTAATTGGACGCTTTTTACGTGCGCGATCCGCGCGATGCGCCGCGCTTTTTGCGCGCGTCGCTGAATTAATGATACATGTGCATTTCCTAAGCGCCGGGCAAAAATTTCCTACCGGACTCATCACGATTCGATATACCTACCTTCACCCAAGACACAACTTAACTTCACTTAATTTCATAAAAAATTATTTAAATAAGCTAATGATGGTGGTGTGTGCGATTGACAAGCGGGTAATCAAACCGAATACTTCATTCTTGACTTCCTCACTATGCAAAATGCTAATAATTAAAATATTACCGCTTTTTAAAGATATTTACATATTTTCTATAAAAATAAGGGTGGCTCTTTTTAATTAGTCTGTTCATGATGTTAATTTTTGTAATTTTTCTAGATAAATGTCTATCGCTGGAGCGGCCGTCGGGCGGCGGCAAAGGAAAGAAGATGCGGAAGCCACGCACGATATACTCATCGCTGCAACTGCAGCAGCTGAATCGACGGTTTCAGCGCACTCAGTACCTGGCATTGCCCGAACGGGCCGAACTGGCGGCGAGTTTAGGTCTTACGCAAACACAGGTCAGTCACAGGCAACAATTCGTCATTATTTGCGCGCCCTTTCACACCATCGATTCGCGTCGCACAATAGGCACAATGCCCAATTCACATCGAGTGTGGGTCACAATATGTGATCGCACGTGTCAAATGCAATTGAATATACGAGTAGCAACAAGTAATGGACCATAGTGTAAAAATAAGAAGTATTAACACTAACCTTTAAAGTTGGTCGTAATTTATCACCCAAAATATCCGGAAACTTTATCCAAAATCTGAAAAAAATTTAAATGACCAAAAATATTAACTAAAGTTATTTTGCCTAAGATAATCTTAAATATGCCACGACAACTTACCGTACAAAGTTGTGTAATTCGTGGCATTAAAATTGCGACCTTACAGGAGTTTTTCCACACAAACACACGCAAACATCCGTCGATAACTTTGTTGTCGGATGCCCGCATGCATTGTCCTGTCTTAATTCGTCTTCATTGTCGACCGCGATTGCGATTGCGAATGAACGCGCCTAACCTTCGGGCCGTCGCAGCGCGCGCGCGTCCGCTCAAATAGTTACAATAAAATTTCAAAGACATAAAAATAAAATAAAAAAATTCAATTTCAACGAAATTTTTTTGCGCCTGTAAAATACTCTTGCGGTTTGTGTGGCGTTGTGCAACGACGCAGTTAACGCAATAATCATAAAGTAATTATAAGTTGGATGCGTGGACAATTTTTGAGTGTTTACAAATGAGATCAAGGTTTTCAGTCAAAAAACCATAAAAAAAAGTGTGGTGCAAGTGCGTGAGTGTGCTGGTTTCAATTTTTTGCGTTTTGCGCGCAAAATAAATTTTCAAAAAATTTTGAAAGATTTCCGCCGTGTTGTTAGGTACTCTGTAGTTGCCACTGTGGAGGCACATCGCCACAATGTGGAGCATTCGCGGAATTAAGTCGTAAACAAGCAAATGTCCATTTTTTACGCCGTGGCAGACGCGCGGCTATTTTATCTCCGGCGCGCCTCGCATCGATTTAAAGCGAAAACGAACGAGTTTATTGTTTCTGCGTACATGAAGATGTTCACCGGAGGCCTGCAGTCCCGGTCCCGCAATGCGCACATTGTGCGCGACGCAAGTCGAATTCGTGCCGGCGCGTTCGCGTAAAAAATGCCTCCGACCAGCGCTGGCACGACTTCGTCGTACTAGCAACCGCCAGGAATGGCGCGCACCTTCGACATCAAACGAAATCCCGCACTGCGTACTTGTGAGTATGTAGCAATCGGCAGAAAACTAAACCATAAAAAAACGCACCAGCGCACCACCAAATTTTCCGCGCGACAGCCGCCAAAAAAACAAAAGTTTTCCATCAGATAAAGGGAAAAATTTCATCATTGGCGTCGATGGAAAAACACGTCGGCAAGTAAACATCTTAAACCAACACATGCAAACGTGTAATGGTAATCATGCCGATTCGGTAAAAACGAAAACTAATTAACGCTCCCGGACCAAGCCGCAGAGCTAAGCTAATGATGGGAGCGCTTAATTCACGCTCGTTCAGCTCGCCATATCCTGCCACCACCTTTAGCAAATCGGCAAAAAGCGTTACCAACTTTTAGCTACAGATACGTACTTAAACGTTTGCATATCTTTTAAAAACATAGACAATCACTGCTAATAGTGAACGCAATGCGTGTCTAAATCAATTTGCTTGCTTTTTCCCTGCAGACGATTTTTTAGTTTCAATTATTTTCGTCTGCTGTTAAACATCTAACACTTCAATTCAACTATGCAACATAAACCATCGTATCGTGGTAGCCGTCGGAAGTTGTCGTCGTAAAATGTTAGCTTATTAATATGCAATCGAGCTGCACCGAGAGTAGAATTTACATTTTCGTGTTGTAGACATATTTTTCGGCCATCTTGTGAAAGTCAACATCAGGCACTTGCATGCAATATTAAAATGCGCCTTCATGTTGTGTTATTTTGATACACATTTCGTTGTTTTCTTGACCAGACAAGTTATGATAGTCATATGCTAATCATACCGGTGTATGATTGACGCAATGTGGAACGGGCAAACTCTTCACATCTTGACGTCTACCAGCATTTTACATGCTTACTACCATGTTATAACAGAAGAAGAGAACAAAAACCACACTTAATTTATACTTTAGTGTGGAAGCCATGTGCTCAACTGAAATTGTTTGGTTAGATTTAATTACCGCTTGTAAGAGACAATGTGCCTTAAATAGGACATACTTAATTAATACAGATTCGCTCTGGGTCTTACCTGGCCGGCGAATTTGGTAGCGATTTGTTGTGTTCTCCTCGGTGGGTGGCACAGGACTTCAGCTTTCGGTTGACATTGCACTTAACTCTCGACCTATGTATGAGAATTTTTGCCTTCGTCTTGCTTCGGCTTTGTTGCCAAACGCGAGCTGAGATTTCCACCTCGTGGATGCGCGCGGAATGACAAATGACCAATAAAACGGTGACGATCGTCGTAAAACGCCACCTGGTGTTCGCTGGAAGCAACACCACGTGATGGAATGAGTTTTTCACACCGCGACTTTGCTGCGACCGCCAGTGGATCGTGCGCAGCGCAGAGCCTTGCGAGATTTATCGCTTTATGACTTTATAACTGCCTGCTGCCGGTTTCTTCTCTCGGATGGCATTTAGGGACACTTTTATCTATTACAGTATTACTCTATTACACACACTCGTTGTTGTGTGGTTGTGCGATCGTCCTCAGTGAGGTATAAGGATGGCTTTGCACCATGCGCGCGGTTTTATGGCGCTTTGGTTTCAACTGGCCCCGTCGTTCTGTGCGCTGGAGAATATTAAATTTTTTTACGAGCCGCCGCCGCGCCGCTTGGGGCTTCAAATCTTCTCGTAAATTTATTAGATTGGTGTGAAATTGGATTGGGCTTCCAACTCGACCGCACAAGCGCGCACACAACTCACGTTTTACTCTCGGCAACCAATCGTACACATACATGTCAATAGCGCTCAAAACAAAATATTATTTTAATGTTTATGCTACCAATATTGCAATATTGTTGCACACAACATATGAGAAAATAATTTATAAAGTGAAAATGGTTGTACTCTTTGCTAATTGATTTTTTATGTTATTCTTTCACGTCGCTTGCGTTTCGCGCTGGCAGTTAATAAAACGCAAAGACGTTTAATCAACGACATCATTTTCGAAGCGTTAATAAAGAGGCGCTTGCTACTCGTCTCGGACGCAACGCATTTTTATAAGTCATAAACGACCGAGTTGAATTTAATGCGCATAAAATAATAAACCATCCTATAAAAAAAAGAACGAGGTAGGTACCTGTGCGTGGTTCAGATTAAGACGTTGAATATCAATAAAATAACTTAACCTCGCAGTTCAAAACTGCTGAAGACTTATGACTTAAGTAAGTTACGCGTAATTTATGTGGCGTTATAAAAATGCTTTAGTGCATTTTCGTGTGGCATGAAAAAGATATAAAAAAGTGCATCGAATGCATCATCATCAAACGCGAACGGAAGAAGCGGTCAAACAAGGAACGAAAAATTCACATCCTGCTTGTGTGTATTTTCTTCTAACGGCTAAAAGATAACCAACAAAAGCGAGGCATAATCAAATGTTACGGTTTTACGTTGTTTAATTTTTATTTATTTACAACTCACCAACTGGAAGAAAGCTCTCTTCTTATTGATTAATGAATCGCCATTCAAACCCTAGAAACGGTGTGACCTCTTTTGTGCCACAAGTCTATTCTCAGCTTTTTATTTTCTGTATTTTGATCTCTTGAAATCTGTCGATAATTCGTTGCGGATGATCACGGGGAGCGCATTGTTTCCGTAGCGAATCCACAGCTCTCTCTCCATATAATCAAATCGCGTGGAGAAAAGAAAAACGCGTAAAAAATGCGGCTGCATGCCCGTTTATGGGAAACACGTTCTTTTTATTTCGTGCGAGATGAATGAAAATAATGAATCGAACAAACAAAAAATACTGTGAACGAGTGTGTCCCATTGTACCAACATGCTGCGCACCGTGTACAGCGCACGCCGCCATTTTGAATTTCACGCGTACAACAAACACAACAAGTGTAGAAACAAGTGCAGAGGGAAAAAATATGGAAAAAATACAAATAAAGTGCGGAAAACGCGTTGAAAAACGTAAAATATTTCGTGAAAAAAACAAAGCGTACAGATACAGAAGGTACGACGAAAATTGCCCACCGCGGAATATTATTGTATCGAATTAATAATTGCCAGCGTGAAATTCAAAATTGCCCCTTTTTCGATGTAGTTTAATCCGCGCGCCGCGCGCCGCGCGCCGCGAACGCGTCAGAGCACGGCAAATCTCTTCAAGATACACTCTTCATACTAACATATAACAAGTAACAGAATAGAAATTGCAATTGCTACCTGTTAATTACAATAGAATGCCTCGGAGCGAACGCACAAAGACGGCAACCACACAAAAGCAAACAAAGTTTGCTGAACTGACGACACCTGTCGGCCAATTATTGCACTAAACATAATCCGCCGCCATTTTAATTCTTTCACTCAAATAGCGGTAATAAATCATATTGGTATAGATTTAAAATAAATATTGACTGTAATTGCATTAATATAATGCTTGAGAGAGGAGCGCGCGTGAAATTGATTAATGCCTCGTGACATTTATCGACTACCGGAAAATTGCATAGTTTCGCCCTGCGTCGAGTGAAAAATTATTGTACAAATAGCGCCACGGACGAAAATCCTTCCAGCGGCCGTATAATAACGATAATTATCTCGATTTATTATTATAATAATAAGTTTTTAGTTAGTTGAGATTTTAGGGTTAACAGCGCAGCAAAAAGAAACAAAACAAGTTTCAGGTTGTTTTTTTTTTCGGTTTGTGATATATTGTAGATACGGGGAACGGTTTTATATTAATGGTCGATCAGATTTGGTCAGAGTACCAGCAAGCGAGAGGATATTAAGCAGTAACAAGAAGTAAAAAAGTTATCAAGTGGGTGTTGC